TTCGTGCGTCATGACGGTGCCAAGGAGTTCGCGACCAACTCGCTCAAGGCCTTCTACGACGACCATGGCATCGAAGTCCAACCGACGGTTCGATATGCGCATCAGACCAATGCGACTGCGGAACGCGCCAACCGGACCATTGTGACTATCGGGCGCAGCATGCTTCACTTCGCACGTTTGGACGAGTGCAAGCTGCTTGACACTGTCTAGGCTTCTACAGTACCACTAACGACGTCAAAGGCGCCGCCCTCCTCACTTCACGTCTGCGAATCGGCGCTACCGTTTGTAGACAGGTGAGGGAAAAAAGAACACATGTCCACCACTTTCGACCTGCTATGCCCAGTGACACACTGCCGATTCCACGTACAGTACGCTCTCAACTTGCTACTTACAGTCGATTTGGGTTCGCCGTGACTGAACAGGAGCTACCTACGGACCATCGTGAAACGGAGCACGAACTAACGGTGGAGAGACTCGACGCGAGTCCTGTCCGTAACGCGGCGACGTGAGGTGAGCACCTTCACGCCCTATGCGATGAAATACACACAAATGCGAGTGAAAAGCACACTAACGCCGTCTATCTGCACTGCCAAAGATAATACGGTGCCATGGCCTTGAAGGATACTTTTCCTGCCATGCAACAACGTCTCCACCGCTGGATTGGCGGCATTTTTCGCGGCCAGAGACGGAAATCAGGCAAAACTCTACGTTACTAGCTCGTGCCGAGTAGCGAAGTACCTAACCACATACCATTCACCACCCGAACCGGCCTACTGGGCGCGCTACGGCCACTTTGACGTCATTTTCTACAGTGCAACCGTGCCATGTTGCACAGGCCGAGGAGCGTTAAGGCCTACAATGTCTACAACTGGCCCGCTGCATGACCATGAACGATGGCCTCGACCATTGAACCAGCGGATAGCGGCTCCGTCAAGCCGGCATCACCGTGGATAATCACCGCAGAGGGTGTTGCGAGGCCAGCTGGAACATAATAACCATTATTGTCCATAGTGAAGATGACCCGATTGTGGTATCCACATGCGCTCCATGGCATGTGAACGTGGTGATGGTGCGCTGGAGGTGTGCGTAGTTGAAAGGTGGTGTGATGCTTTTACTGTAGAGTATGACTTTGCATGGATGGTCGACCGGATCGACCATGTCGACCATAGCATCAACGATTGTTGACTCGTTGCGAGACTGAAAATGGCCGTTAACACTGCGGGCACGGCCTCCACGTACGATGTGGAGGTCCGCGCAATGTCTACGCCGGCTCAACGCATTGCTAAGTGCATGGAGAGAAGGGGTCGCTGGCTACGTTTGCACTGGATCTGGGGCTTAGTGGTGGGAGATATGGTACGAAAAGATCTGTTCGGCGGTTTTGAGGTCTAATTTGGTGCATATTTTTACTCCTTCGGAGATTTAGCATTTGGAAAATGGCGAAGGGGTGGGAAGTATGTGCAGCTACACGCCGGGCAAGCTGGATCCCGCGGTCTCGGCCAGTGGTGACCCCAGAGCACCGTTTGGAGGTCGATCGAGGGTACTGGCTGCTGTTGTTGAAGCGCATGGGTTCAATGAGCTGGGTGTTTTTCGAGCTGCGAAAAAAAAACGTTGTTGCGCATATGTCAGCTTGTTCACGCGGGGCTCCGAATGCGAGAGATAAGTATACACTCGTCTGCGTTTACGCCGTCTTGAGGCACCAGAGGGTAGGTATTCGTTCTGCGCTATTTGGCTCTTTGTGGCTCTTGTGGCTGTCGTGACAGGAGTGGGGTATCATGTTGTG